GAGTTTGTTCAACTTCTTAATGATGCTCTCAGTTGCACTGACTCTTCTGCGCTCGTGAACTCACTCGCACCCTGCTTTCATATTAATAGCTCTGCATACACTTTAAACACAATGAACTCAGTGCTGCGTCTTATTTAGTTATTTTTACACTCCCAAGTAGCACTAATTTTTCTAGTTGAATATAAATCTCTTTAGTTTTTATTTGAAATAGACAGGTTACTCTACTAACTGGGTCGTTCGACACTGTTCAACTGTAAACTGGTTGATTAGAATGCACTCTACTCTCCTGGGCGCAACCTTATCAACACTTACAACTGTGTGAGTTTCACATTGCCTATTATCAATTACACTGTTCTCCTGCTTAGCTAGTTAAGTACATCTTCCCCACTACATTCAAAATGCTTATATCTTGTTTGAAAATTCTTACTATTTCTCCATAACTGTTAACTGTATAGCATTGATGCCTAACCAATAGTTCATAAGTTGTAATAGCCAGACGAGTTTGTGAAAGGAACTTGCAGAAATAGTGTTTCTCAACAGGATGCGAGACATAGAACACCAAGTAGAACTCAATAGCTTCTTTTAAACATTTAACATGAGCCTAACAACACAAAAGGAGGGAGGGTGGAGTTACTGACCAGCAAACATTGATGGTATGGGCGATAACTTCAAACAACCCATGTTTGTGGGGCAGAACATTTTGTTTGCTTTCGGCTCTTTAGATTGATGAGACGACTAATCAGTAACACTGAGGTTGCTCTTATACGCTTGCTACTTCTGTGGTTCATGTTTCCAAAACTATGCTGAGGTCGCTATTCTGTCGAGACACCTGCAACATTCTTACTCAGGCGCTTACAGTATGACTTAGAGGTTGGCATTCAATAATAAAGAGAAAAAAAACAGTTAGACAGTGCGAGATTTTATTCGTCAAATATTTATTTTTACAAACTCTACTCTTTTAACTAGAATTTCGATTTCAACGTACATAAATCCAGCTTCTTACTTCGACTTCTCTTCTATCCACCTGACACTGCACAACTCTCCCTTCTTTTTGCTGTACTCCTTTATCTGTGCGTTATATTCTTATATTCCCATAATTTACTTTAATTTAAGTGGTCAGTATGAATGTTATCTTGACTTACTACTGTATTGACTACTTTAACATGACAGGTTAAGTAGTGCTTTGGTTATATATATACACTTGCCACACTGCTGCCTTTTCCTCTCTCTCTTCTCCTTTTCAGAACCCCATTCACGGTGGGAAATCCTTGGCAACTCTAGGGAACATGCACCCAATGTACATGACTGTCTGGATCACAGCTCGTATCAAGCGCGTTCCATATGACCTTTCCCAACAAATTCACTATTGATCTCTGCCAATCGCCAATAGAACCTATTGTGCACCTTCCTCATTTGTACTCTAATATTGAAAATGTGGCTGTATAATACTGTTTCTGTCAGTGATATGGTGTAAATATGCAATCAGAAACTGTCTCTTATACTTAATTTAACTGCTATAACTTTTACAGTAATTGTAAAAGCATTTGTGACAATTTGATCTAGCCTGTAAACTGGCGTGACTCTTGTAACTTAGTTATTTGAGAATAAATTAAATTATTATTATTATTACTACTCAAAACCAGATTGACCATATCTGTATCAACAAAACGTTCAGAAGGACCATGAAGGATGTGATAACCAGGAGAGGATCTGATATAGCCTCCGATCACCACTTTCTGATCACCAAAATGAAACTGAAACTAAAGAAGCACTGGATACCGTAAAGCTCAACGAATTCAAGATAGCCCTCACCAATAGGTTCCAGGCCTTTCAGGATCTACTCAATTGAGAGGACGCAACATTGGAGAACAATTGGAAAGGGATGAAGGAGGCAATCACTTCAACATGTCACGAAGTTCCGTGTCACAAGAAGTACCATCACAAGGATTGGATGACTGTTTGTACTCTTGCAAAAATTGAAGAAAGGAGGAACAAGAAGGCAGCAATCAATGTCAGCCGAACAAGAGCGGAGAAAGTTACTGCACAAGCTGAATACACAGAAGCAAACAGGGAAGTGAAGAAAAGCATCAGAGCTGACAAACGGAAATATGTGGAAGATCTAGCAACGAAGGCGGAAAAGGCTACAAGAGAAGGAAACTCAAGACAATTGTACGAAACTACAAAGAAGCTGGCCGGAAACTATCGTAAACCAGAACGACCAGTGGAAAGAAAGGAAGGCAAAGTAATCAGCAACATTGAAGAACAGAGAAATAGGTGGGTAGAGCACTTTCAGGAACTATTGAATCGACCAGCTCCACTGAACCCACCCAACATCGAAGCAGCATCTAAGAACCTCCCAATCGATGTTGGCGCACCTACAATTGAAGAGATCAGCATGGCCATTAGACAAATCAAGAGCGGCAAAGCAGCAGGAACAGACAACATTCCAGCAGAGGTAATGAAAGCAGACGTGGAAGCAACTTCAAAAATACTTCACATTCTCTTCAACAAGATTTGGGATGAGGAACAAGTACCATCAGATTGGAAACAAGGATACCTCATCAAAATACCAAAGAAAGGCGATCTGAGCAAGTGTGAGAACTACAGAGGCATCACTCTTTTAAACAGAATGAAGGACTTCGTAGACGCCCAACTTCGAGATCAACAGGCTGGATTTCGTAAGGATTGATCGTGTACTGACCAAATTGCTACATTACGGATCATTGTGGAACAATCAATTGAATGGAACTCACCACTCTACATCAACTTCATCGACTACGAGAAAGCATTCGATAGTGTGGATAGGAAAACACTATCAATGCATCTTCGACACGAGGGCATGCCTAAGAAGATAGACAACATCATACGGAATTCTTATGATGGATTCAACTGCAAAATCATACACGAAGGACAGCTGACAGACTCTTTCGAGGTGAAGACCGGTGTCAGGCAAGGTTTCTTACTCTCACCCTTTCTCCTTCATCTGGAGGGAAGCACGGTATTCAGTGGACAGTTAGGACGCACCTGGGTGATCTAGACTTCGCAGATGACTTGGCTCTTCTATCGCACACTCAACAACAAATGCAATGTAGCAGCAGCCTTAGAAACAGTAGGTCTCAACATACATAAAGGGAAAAGTAAGATTCTACGATACAACACAACATGCACCAACCAAATCAAAGGAACCAAGGAACACATTACGCCGAGAAATAGAGAAAGATATGAGAGGAACGAACAAACATTGGACAGAACTGGAGAAGGAAGCCCAGGACAGATTTGGTTGGAGAAAACTGGTGGGCGGCCTATGCTCCATTGGGGGTAACAGACGTAAGTAAGTAAGTAAGTAATAGGTTAAATCCCTCCGTAAGTGAAGTATCAGAAGGATAGTTGTGATCGAAGTGAGGATCTTCTTGTTGGCGATCTCGTGGTATATAAATAGTACCGATCTCGTGCCAAAGTTTACAGGCGAGACTACCGTGCGTACGTGAGCAAGCTCAAGGTCTCAGACAGCGGAAAAAGTTTGTTCTGTTACAGATAGACAAAATAGTACAGTAAAAAATCACTGGTACAACTGGTTATAATAATAAATGTTTGCATTAGTCCAGTTGCGTTCTCTTCATAGAAGTATATCACTACAGGATCTCTCGCTAGAAAGGGTTTCCGATTTCGGTAAGTAGCGGTTTCGTTCGTGGGACTTATTGGAAAATGTGCGATTTTAAGTTGGAAGGGTTGACGGACAGAAAGCGATAGTTAATCCTCGGGCTGTCCCCGGTTTTTTATATAGAATGCTACTAGGAGCAACGCACCATATTTGTTGCTTGAGTTGGCATACCACACCAGCTAAATTAACAAATAGTCTGAACCAACTAGTATTACCCAACTATCTCTTTCAACATGACTGTTTCATCGCAGTCGTGATAACTTTTAACCGAAACTTCACACTCGGCCCAACGCAAAATAGTGGTCTTTTACAGGGTTGCTTGCACTCCGTAAATTTATATACAAGAGGTGGATATCTTTTGGCTGTCTAGAGAGATGTACCTGTGATTATAACACTCATTTTTTTCAGTAAACCCTCTAGATCCCTCCTCCCATAAGAATAAAAATTAAGGCCTGTGATAAAATAGTGAAGTAAATGGTACGTTATACGGAAATCAAGATTCCTTTCTTGGCGTGGATCAGATTACATTTTGAATATGGACTAGCAACAGTTAGTGCTCTTTAGAAATATATAGCATCTATGTTCCAACTGAGTCAAAGGGCTAATAGAAATATTTATTATTAAAGAATGGAACATTTTAAATTCTCTTGACTAGTGCACTGCAGGTGGAGGATCGTGTTATACAAGCTTCCGTACTGTGGCTGGTGATTTCAGAATAACTATTCATTGATCGATTTTATCACCTGAAATTATTCGTACAGGAAAATAATCTAATAATGTTCATCCTATCTACGTCTAAAGCTTAGAACGGAATCACAAATCAATGGAATTAGTCGCTATCGGTCTTCTCAAATATATTCGCGTTGAAATTCATCAACGGCGGTATAAACCGTTAGAACTACTGAAATAAATTTGTATATTCTACTTAATCCTTAGGACTTAAAAATTTAGAATTTAGTGAAAACAAGCTATGTAAAATCCTGTTACATAGGAAGTTTTACAGTTTGATGTGAATAAGTTTTGAAATTCTCTGAGTATCAGACAGTTCTTCGGGTAAAATTACTCACCATACATATGAAGTTCCTATTCTCGTATGTAACGAAAGGAAATTTTGAAAGCAAATCAATTTTCGTGGAAATAAACAAACCGTTCTCTTTCAAGAAGACTGAATTTTCATAAATTTAAGTGTAATATATCTTTGAGTACGGCTAATTCTACTCTAATTTTTGAATTCCCCGCTGAAGAACATTTGTTCGAGTTTGGACTAAACTTTTATTTTATATTACTTCACAGTAAAAATTATTTGCAGTAGCTCATAAATAATGCAAGAGGTATATATGACAGTATTCAAACAAGGTTTCAATGGCTGGTTCACTTTCGAATGACAGCCATGTCTGCTAGCGCCTATACGGCTCTGATGGTATGTTGTGCATGGTTTTGTGATTTTGCTATTATGTGTTCTTTCTAAAACGAAGAAAATCCGTATCGCTCTGATCAGTAATCTGAAACGTTTTTTGTTTTTCATTTTCAGTCAAGCAAACGCAAGGTAAGTTTGCACCAATAAAACTAATCGTTTTGTTGTTTATGTTGCATAGAAGTATTTCAACGCTTTTTTGTCCACGCACATTGTTTCTGTATTGCAATCTGATGTAATTTTTAAGGCTTAATACTTCTCAAGCTACAAAAGTTGATTGCCCATGTTTTCTGCCAATAGAATCTGAAGTACTAGGTATACTACTAGAACATGTGTTAAGCTTTTCAGGTTCTCATTGAGACCGTAAGTTCTTATGGTCAAGGTTGAATCATTGGCGCACCAAGTCATCCATAATCCACATCCTAATAAAACTTACTCTACGTGAACACAACTAAAACTTGATGGGGCTACTCTATTCTCAATTACAGGCTGTTTAGTGTACGAATAAGATTGTCTATTATTTTCACCAAGTGATCCATAAAAGCGCTGTTTAGGCTGACTACTACCTATCTGTGTGGAAGCTTGTTCGAAGTGTTGACCAGTTTATTTTGCATTATCAGAATCCCGCTTTTTCAACTAAAAGCATCACATGGAATTTCGACATACATAAGGCTAGTCGTTCAGCCTAGAGAATATGCAGCGTAGTACTGGTTAATCTTAAGGTCCTCTGGGTTACAAAGTTCAAGAGCACTACTATACATGCAAATGATTAAAACTGGCTTTTATAACACTTTGTATATCACACTAATTTTTTCACTGACTTGTGTAACAGCGTGATGAAGCTAATGGATTTATAATGAACGGAAATGGTCATGCTCCAATGGAAACTGATAATAACGAAAATAAAAAGGTAATATTACTGCTTATAAAGCTTTTAAACTTTTCAGTCAAGAATTGAATATGTCGAAACTGTTCCATCCAAAGTTGTTCATATTCGTAACATGCCAGATGATGCTACGGAACATGAAATCGCTCTTCTTGGCATCCCGTTCGGTCTGTTAGAAAACATGGTGCTTTCTAAAAAAGCTAACCAGGTAACTATATTAATCGGTATTACATCCGACAGGCTCTGTTGGAAATGCAATGTCTGGATAGTGCGATGATAATGGTTACGTATTATCGCGAGTACCAAGTTACGCTAAGAGGACGTACTCTTGTCATGCAGTATTCTAAACACCAGCATCTTGAGTTGCACTCAGAAAACAGCAGCATAGGCAATGCAATTCAGAATGCGAATTGCATTGTTCAACAGGATCTCAGTGGTGCCAACTCTGGCATGCCTACTACAGTCCTACGTGTCGTCGTTGATAACATAATGGGACAACAGATCAACCATACTATACTACACAAGGTAATGCATATTGTTATTATGATCATGAGTTATATCCTCAGATATTTTATCGATATGGAAAAATACTAAGAATTGTTACGTATCTAAAAAACAACCAGTACCACGGATTAGTCGAGTTTGGTAATCATATTCATGCGTTTGTTGCGATGCTAGTAAGTATCCTTACTTTTATCTCAAAGATTTAGCATTTAAACGGTCAAAATATATACACTGGATGCTGTTCCCTGCGTGTTCATTTTTCGAAAAATCGTGGTCCGTTGGAAGTCCGTCAAGAAAGTGATAGGTGCAGGGATTATCTCAATAATCCATTAACTGAAGAAGAGTTAATGTCTCTTCGAAGACCCACAGGTGGGAGTGAAAGACATCATAACAACCCTGGTCAAGTTTCCTCTAATTTCCAAAATTCAGTCGTACCGAATATAGGACACCAAGGTATTCATCTCCCAGTTGGAATGATTGCACCGCCAAATACAAACAATATGGGCATTAACGAACTAACTGCACAGCTGGCAGCATTAGCTCAGCAGTCAGGATTGGCTCTTACTCCTGCGGCGGCAGCTGCCACAGCAAGTTTCATGGCTCTTACATCTCAAAATAGCGGCCCAGGTGCTCAGTCAATGTCAGGAGCTCCAAATTTATCTGCCATACTAGCGGCGCTTCAGGGTGGTGCTGTTCAGACCGGAGTGCTCCCTCATATGTCTGGCGGTAACGCAAGTGTTATGGGATCTGTTCAGTCACCTGTATCTTCTCATGTGACACCCGTTGGAGTTCGCCCCCCACCCAATAACAATGGAAGCACTGTCCTGATAGTATCAAATTTAAACGAAGATGTAAGTATTTACTTTGGAATGTCGAAATTTTGGGTTTGCTAAAAAAACATCACGTCTAACTTAATATTCTGTTTTCCGTTTCATGTCTTCTTGAAATCACACCTGCTCTCAACCTTGGGTCTTTATCCGTTGATTGGCTATACGATTATGATTACCCATCTCTACTGTCAAATCGGCCGTTTTTCTTCGTATTTCGCTGTTCTTGTTCAATCTTGTTGCACATTTGAATCTGTTGTGCGACTGCACGTGATATTAAATTCGGATTCATTGTTTTAACCTTCATCTTCGTTAAGAGGGTTTATCCGGATGCTCTTTTTACACTTTTTGGTAGGTTTATGTCTTACCTTTTTCTACCGTTACCTATCACATTTTCTTGTCTATAGGCATTACTTATTTCTTTTGTTCCGTATTAATTCTGTTTTCATTCCTTATATTGTCTTGACATCAACTCAACTAGTTTTTCTTTGTTCATTCTCATGACTCGATACATGCTCCTTGGTAGAATGGTATTGTAAATACATTATTTCATACTGTTTTTCACTTGGCTTATCCTTGTGATATTTCGGTCAACCACTTAAATCTTGGAATAAACTGCTTTAACCATTGATCCCTAAGTTTTTAAAGCTATGCGACTGTGATGACGTTCTCATCACACTTAACATTCACTTCATGAAAAAAGGCTCTAAACATTTACTCGGATTTTTCCTATTTCACCTTAGAAGCAATGCTTAATAACCTCATCAAGATAAAAACTCCAATATTGTAACAAACCCTATAGTTATGGATCATTTGAGAGAAATTTTTATGTAACCTCGAATTTCACTTCAGCCTATCATACAGGAAGATGGCTATAAGGATTCAGAAAGTAGCCTGTAGTCTGGTGCATGAGTGGTACTGGACAGTTTATACGATATAAGGTCAAGTCGTTACACCATTTCTGGGCTGAACATTCAAAAATTTAGTTCTACTTAATTGGTGAATAGCCATTACTGTATGTTCCTTGTTTATTCATTCATTTTTTCTTGTGATTTGCAGTGTCACTATCTTCCAGATATTAAACAATCTATCTGCTGAAATGCATTACGTACAGGTACCTTTGAACCATTCTACTCAGTCAAAGTAGAATGAGTCTCTATAGCCTTAATCCTACACGTTTGAATAGAAGCCTTGAAAATGTCTTCAGTATAGCTTATAATTTAGACATTAAGCTCAGGTGCAGTTGACTGTTTTTTTTTGTGTTTTATTTCCATTTATGTAACTTCCTGCCTTAAGTTTATTGGCAACAGGTTGACGAATAGACGCTAATGTTCCTTCAACGGAAGGTACATGAGGCCAGGATTTGATCTACGTAATCCACACTTTTTCTTTATAGGTGTATATGGAGATGTTACTCGCGTGAAAATTATGTTCAATAAGAAAGATACAGCTCTAATTCAGTTTACCGATCCTCATCAAGCTCTTACAGGTAATTTTGTCCCCATCTTGATAAAAAAAATCATGTAGCTCTACAATTTCTCAATGGTCAGCGCCTCTGGGATAAACCGATGAAAATTGCAGTGTCTCGACACAATATTGTCCAACTACCCAAAGAAGATACTGAAAATGGCTTAACCAAAGATTATACTAACAGCCTGCTCCATCGTTTTCGAAAGCCCAATTCAAAAAATTTCCAAAATATTTATCCTCCAAGTCACGTCCTGCATTTGAGTAACATTCCGCCTTCGGTAACCGAAAACGACATACGTGTATTATTTGCAACAAAAGGATTTGAAGTTACTGGATTTCGATTTATGTAATTATATATTTTCTTAAAATTCTTATAATAATTTTTTATAGGAAAGATAACAAAATGGCACTCGTGCAGTTAGAAACAGTTGATTTGGCTATTCAATCTCTTATCGTAAGTTCTTATTAATTACATCTTTGTCTTTCGTAACAGGAATTGCACAACAGCCAGTTAACAGAAAATTCCCACTTACGGATCAGCTTTAGTAAATCCGCCGTTTGAAATATTTTTTTCTACAATATTGCACGTCGTAATGCTGATAACTGTCAATCAGAAAATAATATTGCACTGTGTCCCTGCTTTTCCAGCTCAACTTTTTTTGAAGGTTTGATTTTATCTTCTCAGCTGTCATGTTGACGTTATCATATTGATATTCATCAAGAAATGTTTTTAACGGTACCATATTCTTGTTTTTTCAGTTGTTAACAGTGGGAAGTAAACTTGTTTTTGTTTCAACAGGTAAACATTTGTACAAAAAGGCACTTGCATATGCACCACATAAGTCATTGAATTTGTGCATCAAATGGGGTACTTCCCGGGTCCACAAACCGAAGGTGGCCTCCTTAGGGTGCTGCTCCCCGAGCATTTGATCCAGAGTTCTAATCCTTATGGCAGTGGAGCGACGTAAAGAAATATAGTTTCATGGTAACCTGTGACCAGCAGCAGGTTCATACGCTATTCGTTTCATCAGGCTCCTGAAACCCATATATACCATTAGTTTTGAATCAGGGTTTTCTGACTTCCTTAGGTAGGCGCTCCATATCTACTAACCCGCACTAGACGCGTACTTTCCCACCACGATAAACCAGTGAGTAGGACTTGCCTGGCAGTGGCTATGTACACGTGACTGAATGAGAACATTTCGAGGACAGAGGACTTCGCTTGGTCGTAACAGGGCATTTGTTGGCGGGAATTGAAACTATGTGCTTGATATTATGCAACAGTTCAGTTTACAAACAGTGCTAACAATATGATATCGGTCAGCGTAAACATTACCACGAGTATCACTTCTCATACCTTATGTTTTGAATCTTCGTTTTACATACACCCTAACGCTGTTTATTCCGTTTTTTCATTACAAAGATTTGTGTAGCATTTAGGACAGTTAGTCTTGAGGCTACAGTGTTTGCTAATTTCTACGAAATACGCTATTGTAAAAAAAGTATACTTCACCACAAAAATTCTTGAGGCTTGTACTGAATCATTTCTGTTGTTAGTACTGTTCTCGATTCCTAAGTATAATTAACACTAGTTGCTCCTACAAAATGGTATATCTTTAGTTGCTGCGTTTATTCGGACGGTTTGTCCGGTTATAGTTTAATAGAAATCTGACCGATATTCCATTGTTGTCCCTTTCGATTGAGCGTTACTTGACTAACAGAACTCAAAAAAATTGTCTGATCAATCCTATCGTTGTATCCAAGTGGGTTTATTAAATACAATTGATTACAGTGGTTACTTCCTAATCGTTGATACGTTCAGTGATTTTCTGATTATAATTATTACTCGTGTTTCTGTGTGTACTCTGACAAAGAATATGCGAAACTCAATGCTTTAAATCAGACTCTCGTAGTATTATGAGAAATAATTCAAATTTCGATAAGACAGCGCTAATTATAGTCCAGGCAACCAAACAGCATAGTGCTTAATATATTTAACCTGGTTCAAACTACCTTAGATCATTAGCAAAGCAAGATAAAATTGGTAGGACATATCCGATGGCATTTGAGGTGGTAACAGTGTCAGTGCTAAATGAGGTTAGACATCAACGATATGACTGAAAAAACAGATTAGTAAAATAAAAATATTCTGGAGGATTCAGAAATATTGGGCAAATCGATAAATTTTGGAACTAGGGCACTGAGCGTTAGTGGATCATTTTGTTTCATTCTTCCATTGTTCGATACAGTACAACTGACCACGCACAAAATCATGATATTGTGAAGAAATAAAATTAAGTGTACATTCCGTAATAGTATGTCACAAATATAAACGTGTCAGATGTTTGTAATTTTGGAATATTAGCTGATAGGATTAAATATTATTTACAGTCATGAGAATCAATTTCTGAATCACTAGAATGGTCTCCATTATGTCTTACGATTGTTACAAAACACATGTCTATTTGACAGTGAGTCAAGGTTATCACCGACGTCGGGAAATCTGGATAGCATCTCATATCTGTAGAGATGCTAACATCTTTATTGTTATAACCTATGACTTTTATTGGTGAGAGGTCCATCTATTCTGAAACTAGTCATCAGCCAGTTGAGGCGGTTATTACCTTTAAATCCATGTATGAAATGACACAAATAGCTTAGTTTCACTGTTTCGAAGAAAATAAAGCGATGATTTTCTAGGAATGTTATGTAGTAAAAATGAACATCAGAAAAACCCGGTGGCAACTCAACTCTTCTGAATGGCGATCAATTGCCTTGATCATATCTCGTATTGCCATGAGGTCTAGTTGTAGTCCTTGACCCTACTTATCAGTGTCTTCTCGATGAGGATTTCTTCCTCTCCATGAAAACGTTAAACCATGTTCGGAATTAAGTACCCACTTAGAATACTCATCTCTTGAGTATACAAGCCCCCTCTTGATGGGCATGCTTGAGATACTCCAAAACTATCCAAGATGTTTTCTTGATGTGGAGGTCCACTAGGCATATTCTGATTCGGCGTATGCACATCGCGGCACTAAATATGTATTTTCCACTACGGTCCATAATTTTGGTTTTGTTTTTTGAGATAGGTAGTTTAATTGCGAAATCTTCATTGCTATTCTTAGGCGATAACTTTGGTTAAAACACCCAACTTTCAGCTAATAAGTCGCAGGCTGGAACCCCGTCCAACACACTTTGGGCAGCCGTGTAGTATTACCAGTGTTCACTTTGAGTATAGTTCATATTGAACTACCGGGAGAATGAGTTCTTTTTTTTCAGTCATAGCAGCACAGCTCACATAGTGAGCTGTTTATTTATTCCACAAGCGCTAAATCAGCTTGTTATAATGTTCAAAGTGACGGTGAAACCTTCGCAATTAAGCCACTCAGGCTTAGAGAATACAGTCACGTGCGGAGCTGTGAGAAAAATGTGAACATTCAGGTGTTTCGCATGTGCTAACGTCATCGTTCAAAATGGACCTAAATGGTCCAGTTGCTCCTGTCTTACATAATTGTCGCATCAGTAATATAGGCATAAGCGAATGTTGAATTATTTGAGAAGCTACTACACTGTCTAAGGAAGATTGGTTTATCCAAATGCTAATTAGAAAAGCTTAACTAGATCGGAGGAGTCTGTCACACGAAAGTCAGGTTGGTTATCTTTACTGTCATCAGATGAAATATTTTCATCTCGCTCCAATCGAGATTGATCTCCACATGCTGAAACCTAAAATCTAATAATAGACGTCTATATACAACACTGAGAAGAGATTTTATTGCCAAGAAAGTAAACCCGTGTAAACAAAGATATAGGGTTCTATTTCTTAAAGGTAAGTTTGAAGCTAGAAACAATACCTGTAAGTCTCAGACAAGTCGGTATTTTGCGATAGCCGATAAATTATCACAAATATAATACGAATCCAGAAGTTGATTAGGGAAACTAAGTTACCTAAATTATGAGCTTGGATCATTATTGACGTCAATGAGCATTATGTTCACTTTACAGACAATGATACTGTTATCATTTGCCAATTATTTGGTCACTAATAGTGAGACATTTCGAAAGTTCACTATCTCATTGGTATCACGCGTGTGTAGCTCTTTAACTCATGCTCATCATGTAGGTGGACTTACTTTTTCATCATATCGAAATTTTTTTGTCTCGATAAATCTTACAAATCCTTAACATTGCAAACACTTGGTTATCTGTTACTGCGAATGATGTAATATAAAGAGAAAAATAGTATAATTAGTGAGTCAAAGTGTAGTTTGAACGCTTGTTTTAACTATTAGATGCAAATAAAATGATGCATCTACAATTCTACAAACTCAAAAATAAATTCAGTGAGTTAATGTCTACCTGGGATCAGTGAATAACTCGTTATCGTATGAAGTTAAATATTTTGTTTGAGTCTCAATGCGCGCGTCAACATTGGGTACTTAGACCATCACATTTTGAGTGTTCTAGCAGAAAAATCTGAATCCATGGGACCATTTATTTCCCTCGTAAACTACGGACTTAGTAAGCAGCATTACTAGAGCATTTTGTGATGTAACATAGAAAGGAGGTTAGTCAAATGAAGCGGTTAGTGAAGTACTCAGCGAATTGGAAATAATTATGCAGAGTATGCTATTTAAATGTTTCCACTAAAAATATCTGTGACAATGAAATGTAATCTAAACCTGTTTAAATCAATGTATTTCTTTATAAGCACAACATACTATGTGAATTAATGCGTTTTATAAATTATACTCTTGTTCACTTGTAAATAGTTGAAAACTCACTGATGCATATTTATTATATTTTGATTATAAACATTATTGTTCAAATAATAAAGAATGCTGTTACTGTTTAAAATATTTACTGCTTCAATGCCTTTAGAAAGTATGTCAGAGTGTTTAATAACCAAGTACATTTAATTTTGTGGTTTTTTTCTATTTTTATCTGGTCCGTTTATTTTTCTGTGTGAACTGTTTTGCTTTATTCCGCACAACCATTGTTTACAATAAGTTGTATATATTAACAAACATACAATTTGCTAGTATGGACTATATGGCTAGCTTAGTATAGACTGCACTTCATTTTTTCGTTCAGATTGTAAACCTGTCAAATGCTCATCTCTATGTTTTTACATTACGTATTATAGTCTTGGAAAACGTCATTATTATAAACTCATTATTAGGTACAGATTCATGTACCTGACTTGTTGCCACGCTTTAACTGTAAGTGCTGATATTACTACTCAGTTGCCCGAAACAATGCAGGCAGAACGGGGTTCAAGCCTGCAACTTAGCTGGAAGCTGAAAGTCTTAACTACTATTCCACCGCTTTAAAAACTGGATAAGTAATGGTATATAATGCAGTATCCTTCAAATGTGAAAATGATATAAAGTATAAATTTTTGGATTTTGTATCAGATTTTAATTATGGTGGATGAATACTCATCGTTTGTCTATAAAGGGAACTCTTACAAAGTTTTAGATGAAGAAAAAAAGAGAAGCGAATAATTTTCAGGTACTCTACCATCTAAAATCGTTTATACAATTGAGTTTACTTGAAAATGATGATATAGTAGTATTCAAAAAATTTACGACTTCCTGTTATCAACGAATTGATTTCGTATAGAGGAAATTTAGTCCATGTGTGAACCAACCTTATAATCAACAGGATTTCTGGGACAGTAAGTATTGTAGACTGGACAACGTGAAGTCTGGGCTACTAAACATTCGAACAGTGCAAAC